CATCATTGTTGGATATAAGTCCGAGCACTGTAGTGTCATCTGCAAACTTAACAATGAGATTGGACGCGCAGGAGGAAATACAGTCATGGGTGAAGAGAGTGTATAGCAGAGGGCTCAGAACACACCCCTGAGGGGCACCGGTGTTGACCACAAGGGTAGAAGAGGTGTTCTTACCCACTCTGACACTCTGTCTACGGTTAGTGAGGAAGTCCACAATCCAGTTGCACAGAGAGGAGTTAAGTCCCAGTTCGTGTTCTGGTTTCTGCGCTGTAGTTTAGTTGTTTTCCAGTATAGTTTAGTTTGTCTTCATTTGCCATTTTCCCTTTGCCGTTTATTCAATAAACCACCTTCACGACTACCTGCGCTTGGATCCTCCTTCATTTCTTCCACACGGCTCTTCTCACTCGCCGTGACACCTTTAGACAATAATTCTGATCAACCAACCTGGTGATGTAACGTTCCTTACTGACAGAAGATGGTGCCAACAACTTTTTAAGCACTTATTTCTTAAATCCAGCTTCACAGACAGGATTATAGCTATATCCATTTTTGAGAACAGGGTTCTGTGGTGTAAATTAGCATTTATACATATTTTTACGTGTTTGTGTTTGTCTCATCTGTGTTTTGTCCTTTATGTAGTGTGCATATGAAACAACATAAGGAAGGCAAGACTACAAAGGCACTCAAGTAATATGCTGAACGGATAATTGGAGGTGAGCTTCCCTCCCTCCAAGACATCTACAGGAAGCGCTGCCTGAGGAAAGCGGGGAGGATCATCAAGGACTCCAGTCACCCCAGCCATAAACTGTTCAGACTGCTTCCATCAGGAAGGAGGTTCTGCAGCATCCGGTCCCGTACCAGCAGACTGAGAGACAGCTTCTTCCATCGGGCCATCAGACTGCTGAACACTTCATAGACACCTCAGCTTCACTACTGGAACTTCAACATTATGCACTCCACACTGTATATAAATGCCACTTGTTTTGCACATATTCAACTCTGTATATTTTATATATTTTATTATTATTATTATTATTATTATTTTTATTATTATTATTTTTTACTATTTAATTTGTAAAAATGTGTATACACACACACACACACACACACACACACATACACACGTAGGAAAATATTTAGTATACACATCCAGGTTTCAGGTTGGCCATTCTTGTATTTTGCTCGTTTGTGTTGTTGTGTTTGCACATCTCTGTTGCTTGTGGGGCTCGCACACAAGAATTTCACTCGCATGTGCTGTGCCAGTGTGCCTGCACATGTGATGTGACAATAAAAGTGATTTGATTTGATTTTGATTTGATTTGAAACCAGGGATGGAGTAATTTAAAAACTAGACCTGGGAAATATGGAGAAAAAAACTAACACAAATACAGAAAATTATACAAAAATCAAAACATTGGGTCAAAGACCCAGGAACCATAGCACAAAAACTGCAGTAATGCATCTATAAACTGTGTTCATTAGGTACCCAGTAGTCTTAGTATAAAGGTAAAACCTCAGACATACCTTACAGTAGGCTTAATCTATGACGGCAGCACATTTCAAGTATTTTTGTAGATAGTCAAAATTCACAAAATTTAGCTTGCACAAGTGGAATATGAGCACATTCTTTTTCCATGATACATGACTGTATTATTTTCAGAACAGCTTGATCAGAAGGATCTAAACATTTTTTTCTAAAAGTGCTACTAAAGTGATAAGATTGTGCACGTACATAAACATGGACTCATTTTAATGTCTGTGAATTCACTCGCTAATTTATAGTATTCACCAGGGCTGGACTGGGACAAAAAATCGGCCCGGGCATTTTGACTAGAGACCACCAGGTATTATAGGAAAACCCATAAAGCCTTTGACTGAAAACAAACGCTGTTGTCACAGTGATGTACACTGTCTTGTTGGTATATATGTATCAGTCTAATAAACTTAAATTAAGACAAAGACTAGAGGTGAGACATGATCATTACTGATTACTGATGACAGATTTAGATTTATTTTCATAAACCATTCATTTGCCACATCAATAAACAGCATGGCAAGGCAAAATATTTTTTCTAACATGGCAACCTTTAAAAAGTGAAAGGAGACAGAAAGACAGCTGAGAAAGAATAAAACTTAATTGACTTTTTGATGGCATTTTACACACAGTACTGGTACAGTTTCTAGAAAATGTGGGAAAATACTGGCATCATATACAGTACTTAGCTACTTCTGAAGAAATTAAAATGGGACCCTAAAAAATTGCTATGTACAATAATGGATTTCTATGCATTTTACATCAGATGAAAACGTTTGTTGTAAGATTCAGATAATTATTTGTTAAAAGCGAGACATTTTAAATGTACTGTAACAAAAAAATAATTTCCCCCAGGGATCAATAAAGTATTCTGATTCTGATTCTTACCTGAAGTTCAGTTCACCACCTCGGGTCTCTGCTCCTCCTGCCTTTCCGTCATCTACCTGCCAGTGTGTTGCATCTGCTAGCCTCCACCACTTGCTAATGTTATTGAATCTGTGGAAGCTCCGCCATAGCCACCACCAAACAACTGAGTTATTTTTACACATCTCCCAGCATCTGGCCAATCCACCACCTTTCAGTGTTTATACCGTTACGAAAACAAAACGAAAAAAAAACATCGGCCCATGATAACGAAAAATCACCATTGGGCATACCGGGCAATGGCCAGTCCAGCTATGGTATTCACTCACTGTGTGTTTAGGGTTTCGCTAGCTTAGCGACTCGCTAGCATCTGTCCCTCCTGCGCTTCTCATTTTGTAAGATGTTTAGTAACTTCTTGGCCTCCTTTAGCAGTGATAAAGTTGTAATAAATGTAGCCTATTTGCAGCTCTGGAGGCCAGCGTCACTGAAATGGAGACTAGGTAGTGTAGGCCCTGCCAGCTGTCCCCCGGCAGACTGTCCCAAGCAGCCGGGGAAACAAGATGGCTGGGTGACGGTGAGGAGGAAGCATAGTCTTAAACAGAAGCCCCTGGGACACCACCAACCTGTTCATGTGTCTAACCACTTTTTCCCACTCTGCGACACACCTGCTGGGGATCAAACTCTGGTAATTGGTGATTCTGTTCTGAGACGTGACGCTACAGACATTAGCAACCATAGTCAATTGTCTTCCAGGGGCCAGAGCAGGCAACAGTCAGGGAAATTTAAAACTGCTGGCTAAGGTTAGAAGTAAATTCAGTAAAACTATAATTCACGTCGGCAGTAATGACACCCGGTTATGTCTATTGGAGATCACTAAAATCAATTTTAAATCGGTTTGCCAAACTTTGCCAAAACAATGTCAGACTCTGTAGTTTTCTCTGGTCCCCTCCACAATCAGACCAGGACTGACATGTTTACCACCACAATATTTTCATGGTGTTATGATGTTCCTTTTCTGAAATGCTATGTTACTTTTATGCCAGATGTAGTGGGAGACACACTTTCCAAGAAGTTCCACTTTTGACTCATCAGTCCACAGAGTATTTTCCAGAAAACCTTGGGGATCATCAAGATGTTTTCTGGCTAAACTGAGACGAGCCTTTATATTTGTTTTGATCAGCTGTGGTTTTGTAACTCTGCCATGCAGGCCATTTTTTTCCCTGTCTGTTTTTTATGGTGGAATTATAAATATTGACCTTAACTAGTCAAGTAGGGTCTGCAGTTCTGTGGATGTTCTGGGGTCTTGGGGTCTTTTGTGACCTCTTGGATGAGTCATTGCTGAGGATAATTTTGGTTGGCTGGCCACTCCTAGGAAGGTTCACCATTTGTGGTGAATGGCTCTCACTATGCTCTCACTGATCTTTGGGTCTACTCCACTTTGTCGGGCAGGTCCTGGTTCCTAATTGAGAACAGCTTTGGATATTTTTCCTCATTTAGAAACTGTATTTTGTTTTTACTTGTGTTATCTTTGTCTAATGTTTAAATTTGTTGATGATCTGAAACATTTAAGTGTGACAAACATACACAAAAAATAGGAAATCAGGAAGGGGGCAAACCCTTTTTCACACCACTATAGCTCATTTTGACATTTTGATCTGCCTTTATGCAAAGTTATGTCAAACTGAAGCTGTGGGGCAAGGTGAGTGTTGAGCTCAGGACGAGGACACGCTGGAAATCCTAGGTGGGAAGTACTCAGGGAGCACAGGCCGGATTATATCTGTGAACATCAAATTTGCTTATGTAACACATTGTAGTTCAGACAAAGACACTAGCAGCTGTTATGCAATCCACTGAATCCACTGGTGACCTGGCTAAGAGGCACACTACACTATACACACACATGTACACATGGATATCTAAGCTACACTTTGTGTGTGTGTATAGGAAAGGGAGAGGGAGGAAATGACAGAATGGCTGTAATTGCCATAAACCGTATCAGACCGTGGTTTAACATAAAATTAAATGCAGAATAGAAGATAAGGCTTAAAGTTTTAGAACAGTTGGTATTCAGAAGATAGCCTGAGATCTGGTTTAGTAGCCATGAAATCCATGAACGTCAAGGACCAGGATTTTAGGCTTGTAAAAATGTATTTGTGCATATGAATATGCTCTTGTATGTGGTTGACAACAGCCGCATAAGTGAGGAAATGAAACTGAGTGTTTAAGGAGCTTGGAAAGAAAAGTGTCTGGACTTCTTTAAGTTGCTTGAAAACGTTTCACCTCTCATCCGAGAAGCTTCTTCAGTTCTAGGGTCAAATGGTGAAGAAGCTTCTCGGATGAGAGGTGAAACGTTTTCAAGCAACTTAAAGAAGTCCAGACACTTTTCTTTCCAAGCTCCTTAGACTACGATGACCTGGATGACTGAGAACCTTCACAGACAAACTGAGTGTTAGTGGGTGGTTTCAGCAGGGAAGGCGCCAGAGAGAAATTCAGGGTCTGTTCCAGTCCAATAGTCTATTTTGCTTTGGAAGGTTCCTAACTGAAATAAGTCACCTGGAAGTGTCTGTGTGACAGCCATTATAAGAGATAGACATAGTTCGACATGAACATTTTTAATACAGGGAACAAGGAAACACTTCAGTCATCACATTTACTTACATTTTCACATTAACTTTTAGCTAGAAGACTCAGTTGTTAATGAAAATACTGTATAGAAAAGAGATGCTGACTCCACTCTTCTACTGAACCAAGGATGATAACTGACAAATCAGAACAGGTCTCACTCAACATAATCAGACATTTCATTTGGTCTATGTAAAGTTCCTATCAAACTAAATGGGGAGGGAGAGAATGTCCATTTCAGTGGTCAGTGGGACATAAAAACTGCATGTATGTGGCACCAGTTTAGCTCACTAGTTGAACAGACGATCATATGCCACATGGCTAAATAGCAGTCTGGGTCCAATCTGCAGTCCTTTGGTGTGTGTCTTCCCCAGTTTCTCTTAACACATTCCTGGATGTAAAAAAACTGCATCTGATAACTCAACTCAAATCTGATAAAGAAAAAACCTTTAAGAGTTGGTCTCTTTGGCTGAAAATACGGTTTAAAAAGCTTTTCCATCACAACTTCCATACTTCACTATACAGTCGGAGAACTTGAGTTTCCAAAATTTTGTTGTACAATGACAATAAAGGGATCTTCTATTCTACTGCCTCTTGTATAATTCTTTATTTTAAAAGTATTTTTTTCACATTAACACACTAATTGGTTCAGGTTCCCATCATAAACATCTTCAAATGTACTTAAATATTAATTTTTTTGTGTAGTTTAGTTTTCTTGTGTTCTTTTTGCCCAGTAAAAATAGGCAAGTGAAAGACACTGGGGGGCTGAATGGAGCAAATGATTCACACTAAGAAAACAATTTAAAAAACCCATCAGGGTGCAGCTCAGGTACAGTTGTTAGTGGGTGCTGCTGCACACTCCGCTGGTCAGAGTCAGTTTACTCCACCTCCTCTGGTTGAGGAGTTTTCGGCTCTGTTGAACCTTTACGCGAACATCAAAAACCTCCTGGATGGCTTTTTTGAAGCAGTGAAAGTTGTAGTCAATCAGTCCTGTCAGAGAGAGGACAGAATCACATTTGTTAGAAATGAAAATACTTTCTAGCACTTATATGATGTCTGAAGAACAACCCTTAAATACAAGGGAAAGTCCAAAGGTACCATATCTGAGGCCATAAAAAAAACAAAAAATGTATAGATCTAGATTTGGTTTTCATGGTTTCTTTACGGTCATCTATTTGTGCATCATTGCACTGGTTTTGAACACTCTTGCTCATTTTGTCAGACAATAGAGCACTTTTTGTGTTTGGGAGTGAGATAAAACTGTTCAGAGGGTACCAACCCTCTCCCCCGACTCCAGCGTTTGGCAGAATCTAAAAGAGTTCAAGCACAGTCACACCTTAAGATTGTAAACTGCACATGCTCTGTCCCTCCCTCGCAAACAAATTTCTTTAAAGGTGAGGCTGAACAGTAGATCATCTCCATGGAGACTTTTAATCTCAAGGGGAAAGAAAACTCTTCCATTGTCACTCACTGAACATTAATATCCGCCTGTTACCAAGCAACATGAGGTAGATAAAGTCAGATGAAAGAATAACAGGAATGAAGCAGAGCTAAACTATAGGTATACAGACACCAAGCACAAAAACTGAATGTAAAGTGTAAATGCTGACAGCAACATCATACAAGGCCCTTATTAAAAAAATCATGAAGGTGAAATTTAGCACCTCAGGACATGATAAAATTGCAAGCACAACTGTCCTCTAAAACCAGAAATGACAAAATTTTCATAAGCCTCCAGGAAAATAATGAAATACGCCATGACCTAGTTGATGAAATTCATCTCAAAATTGTGTTATGGTTCCTTTTTGGAGCCAAGTCTCATGATTATTGACCATTCTCTCCAGCTCACACACAATAACAACCAGAAATGGAGGTAATGAATAGTTACAAATACAATGACTGATTTTAAATTGTGCTTTGATGTGAAAACAGAGGAGTTTAGAAGGCCCTACATTTATAAACTAAGATGACTGAATGGAGATAGGACTTTGAAGGATCGGTGAGTTTAGCTCAGAGTGACGCTGAAAAACTAGTTCATGCATTTATTACTTCCAAGCTGGACTACTGTAATTCATTATTATCAGGAAGTCCTAAAAAGTCCCTGAAAAGCCTTCAGTTAATCCAAAATGCTGCAGCAAGAGTCCTGACAGGGACTAGAAAGAGAGAGCATATTTCTCCTGTTTTGGCTTCCCTTCATTGGCTCCCTGTTAAATCCAGAATTCAAAATCCTGCTCCTCACATACAAGGTCTTAAATAATCTGGCCCCATCTTATCTTAATGACCTTGTAGTACCATATCACGCTACAGGCAGGTTTGCTGGGACAGACAGGGTGAGTCCCCGTGTTCTCAAGGCCAGGAAACCAGCGATCCCTGTTTCAATCCAGGAGGTAAATGTGGAGGACTATAAATACCTATACCTCAGTCTCTATACTCCCAGCCGTTCTTTACAATCTTGCGGTCAGTTACTTCTGGCCCAGCCCAGGCACCAACTAGGGGTGATCGTGCTTTTGCCTCTGTAGCACCAAACCTATGGAATAGTCTTCCTGCTACCATTCGTGCCTCTGACTCCATTCAATCATTTAACGCATGCTTGAAAACTTACCTATTCAACCTGGCTTTTCTTACTCGCTAATTCTCACCGCTCCTTAATTGCTGTATCCCTACTCATTTCTCTGGATAATCATGTTCTCTCCCTGTTTCTATTTACTAATGCTTTTTGTTTGTTTTCTCTACTTTCTGTATTTTACCATGTTTTAACGACTTACTGTTCAGTGTAATCTTTTACCGTTATTTTAACTGTGAAGCACTTTGGTGTACACCCTGGCTTTCAACGTGCTATATCAATAAAATTGTATTGTATTGTAGATAAGTACACGTCTCTATTTTCTGAAGGTGGTTGAGTCTTTTCATATCTGTCAGACAATGCTCAGGATTTTCCATGAGTTTGCTGCAGCCAGTGCCATCCTCTATGATGTGTCATGCTGGGGCAGCAGGTTGCAGATAGCACCAGATTCAATAAACTGGTCTGCAAAGCCAGTAATGTTGTGGGGAGGGAGCTGGACTCTGGAGAGGCAGATGTTGTCCTACATAAGGACGATGCTGGACATTACCTTCCATCCACTTCATGACATGCTGGCCAGTCACAGGAGGACGTTTAGTGAAAGACTACGATTACGCAAATACACCACTGAGGACACAATAATTCATTTCAGCTTGTGGCCAATTCTTTGAATAATTCCACTAAGACAGACACCCTAGATTAGACACCTCAGAGTAGTGTGAAGTGGGGTTGTCAGGTTAATGCTGACAAAACCAGAAGCAGAAGTCCACAACACCAGGCCAGCTCATTCGCATAAGTCTCACATGATCGTGAAGATGCTTCATAGAAGAAAGGCTGGGGAACCAGGATTGTATTAGTGGGGACTAAAGGGATTAGTTGAATGAGGATCACAGTGCTGACGGCAAGTTAGAGAGTGTCTGATACTGTCTGGCCAATCAGATGCTATGCTCATTCTCTTATGTTTTTACGACAACCTTTCAAAAAAGGTTTATTAACAAAGTTGTAATTTAACAACAACATGAACTGCAGGGCTGTTTTCTGTGGGGATGAAGAGAAGGGTACATTTTAAGCAGGTGAGTGGAAAGACATGCAGGTAATCTGAGTTTGAATCAAAATCCAGTAAATTCCAAACATGCAATAAGAGAATCTGATTAGGCTGTGAGCTTTGTGGAAGAAGAGATGAAAGCGATACTAGAAAAAATGTAAACTACTAAGATATGATCTGGCAAAGGTGGAGCAGCGGAGCCAGTCCTTAAGCACAGTTTTTTTGAAGTCTGTCAGCAGCACCAGCTGAAGGGCATGTCTTCAGAGATATAGAACAAAGAGGCAACCATGCACACACACATGCACATAACAGAATGAAGAGACAAAGAGAAGGAGAGCGAGAGAGAAGTAAAGAGAACGGGACAACAAGGAGACAGAGAAAGCAAAAAAGAAATCTGCCATTGAAAATGAATGACATTTGGCTACTATAAGTCATGTAAAGAGTTGTGATATGAGAGATAACCCTCAAATCACGAAAACTGTTTTGTACTGATTCACTTGTGATCCATAATGCAAAGAAGTTAAATAGAACTACAGTACAGATACTATTTCTTAAACAGAACAAATCAAAATCGTTCACTAGTGTTGCTAACTACATAATTCAACTAACGTGCCATTTCAGAGTGCCCAGCCTACTAAACATTGTTTTGATATTGTTAAAATCAATCAACATCAAAATTCAGGGAAAGGAGACAGAAAGAAAAAGAACAGTGATTTCAACTGAAATTTGGACAGTTGTTACAGACAATTACAATAGTAACAATAATAACGTTTTTTTTTTTTTTACTTAGCTAGACAACTAGTATAAAATACGAGAGGTTTATACTGCACCGTGATTACCTCTGCAGTAAAACAACATAATGCACACGTGACTCGTGCTTTTGAATTGGCTTGATGAAAAAAATTACACTGTAAAAAATTTTGTTTGGGACATTGAAGAGCCATATGTGGTATCTTAATCTTTTTCTTCTTCTTGTAGCCATCCTCTCTTCTTCCTTCCTGGAATCTTTTGTCCCATTTATCCAGATGTCCACACCATCTAAACCTTGCTTCTCTAATTTTGTCTCCAAAGCATCTGACCTTAGCTGTACCACTGATATATTTATGTCTAATCTTTTCCTTTCTGGCCACTCTCAAAGAAAATCTTAACATCTTCAACTCTCCATCTCTAGCTCCGCCACCTGTCTTTTTGTTTGTTCCACCTTCTCCAAACCATTATAGCAGGTCTCTATAGCAGGTATTGAAAGCTTCGCTGTTACATTCATTACCCTGTCATTCACAGACATGTATCCGGTCTTGGTTCTACTGACTTCCATTCCTCTACTCTCCAGACCATGCCTCCACCTCTCTAAAATTTCTTCCACCAGCTCCTCACTCTCACTACAGTGTTGTCTAAGAACATCATAATTCATCTGTCAAACTGTCCATCACAGCGCCAATGACAAAAAAGGGTCAATCATGGATTTCCTTCTCCACCTTCAACTGATATGTCACTCCTACTACACACCTCATCATTATCTTGCTGATCTCATGAATGTCATCCACCACCCTCACCTTGTCTGCCACTCCTGACTTCTTCATCCAGTACCATATTTTCTCTCTTGCCACCCCATCATATGTTTCCTCTAATTTCACAAAGGCACACAGAAGCTCCTTCTGACCTTCTCTATACTTCTCCGTCAGCACACTCGTAAGTCATACTGCTGCTCGTCAGCTCCATTTTTAGCTTAGCTTCAATAACTCTTTACACAGCTATATAGCTAATCACCTTTATGCCTCCAGAATTATTTAAGCTCTGTCTATCACTAGCAATGGGAATCACTAGTGATCCCAGTAGTCCAGTTTCTTGGAACTGTTAGTTTAGTTCCTTCTCTTTTGAGCAGGAACCATCTGCACTCCACATTGGCTGGAGTGCAGGGGGCAAACTGATTGAGAACACCTGAGTTGGACCTTCACCCCAACTCAGGTATTTTGGGCCTGGGTGTTGTGCAGCTGGGTCTATCTTGTGGGAGTGGGAGACCAACATCAACTCCATCCTCAAAAAGACCCAGCAGAGGATGTACTTCCTGAGACAACTGGGGAAGTACAGTCTTCCACAGGAGCTGCTGATCCAGTTCTACACTGCAGTCATTGAGTCTGTCCTGTTCTCCTCCATCACAGTCTGGTATGGAGCAGCCACTAAACAGGACAGGAGCAGACTACAGCGGACTGTACGGGCAGCAGAAAGGATCATCGGCACCCCCCTGCCCTCCATCCAGGATCTGTACCTCTCAAGAACCAGGAAACGGGCAGGGAAAATCATCACAGACCCCTCACACCCTGGACACAGACTTTTTGATCTGCTGCCCTCTGGCAGACGGTACAGAAGCCTGCAGACCAGGACCACCCGACACAGGAACAGTTTCTTTCCCCTCGCCATCTCCCTTCTTAACAGTTGACCTGTCACACTGCTCCCACTGCCAGACTGCAGCTGCACCTTATGTACATTCTGTAGTATTCATTCCACCTCATTCATTTCTGTATTTTATGTATATAAGGTTAGATTCGTTATTTATAGTTGGTTTACACAGCTTTGTGTATGTATGTGTAATGTGTATATATAGACACGTGTGTGTGTGTGTGTGTGTGTGTGTGTGTGTGTGTGTGTGTGATTTACATTGCTGTGCTTGAGAGCCACCATCTACCGGAACCAAATTCCCTGTATGTGTCTGCACATATACTTGGCCAATAAACACGATTCTGATCTGATCTGATCTTGCCTTCATCTTTGCTCTGCTTGTCCTTCAGGGGTCAGATTTGTTTGCATTTGGTATGGTTTGCTTTGCTCTTACATTTGGTGAGTGCACAAAGCCTAACAATGATTAGTCTATTCCTAATGTTCCTTTCATTAGGGATGGCTTTGTTTCCTTGGTCGGAGGTGACGATAAAGACCCAGTTAAAATTCCGAGTGACACAGGAATCTATGACTTCTATATAGTGAACTCTGTGCTGCCCTTCTCAAAGGAGTCTGACACATGTGACTACATCCTCAGTTATGGGATGGGTTTCACCACTCTTCCTGTTCCTTTGCACAAGCTCAACTTGAATTGCAAGCTCTTCCAAGGTGACATTTCCATGGGAGTACGTCCAGCATTGCCTGTTGATGGTGTTCATTTTATTTTGGGCAATGGTAGCAGGGTTTGGGCAGATGTTCCTCCTTTAACTATTGTGACATCTGTTCCACTGTCTCAGATGAAGGTGTTGGTGAGATTCCAGAGGTTTTTTCTGCTTATGTGGTCAGACATGCTATGGCAATGACTGATGGTGACATACCCTCGAGAAGTGTGACTCTGAGTTGAAGGTTCCGTCTTTAAACGAGTTTCCTTTAACAGTTTCACAGAATGATCAGAGTCTGAAAGATTTATACAATCGAGTGTTGCCTGAAACTGAAATAAACAGCCCAGCGTGTGGTTTATATGTTGCATAATGGTCTGTTGTTTCGAAAGTGAATCACTCTGGCTGACGGCGTTGTTAGAGATGCCATTTTGAAGCTGGTAGTACCGCCCAGTTGTCAAAAGGCTGTGACACGAGATAAATTCCAAATCACATTCTCCTGGGAGTAATTACGTAATATCAATATTACATATTACGCTTCATTTGGACACGCCCACTTTACTGAACACAAGCCTTGGGGCTTTAGTGTCAAATGTATCATTGCCTCCAACAAACATTTGACCACACATAAATGCAATTAATTTGCATGAATGTAATTGCTTTGATATGCTGCTTAGCGATGGTGGTGCCTCTCACACAGGGGCGGAGCGTGGGGGTGGCTTACTGGGCTTAAGCCCGGGTTGTTTTGTCAGAAGCCCGGGGTATTTTGGAGTGTAATTTTTTCATAGTTAGATGCCTGGCTGACAACTGTATAAAACAAAAAGTACACACAATATTCGAAGCACATAGTGCACACTGTGGGAATTTACGACTGTGCGTGAATCCCCCCCTGATATTGGTATGATCCGAGTTCAGGCACTAAGCGACTGAGCGAGGGGGCGGGGCAGCTGCTGCCCGTGAGTGCGCTGTTGGAGAAACGGAGCCAGCCATACTAAGGAGAGCTTAAGTTTGACCAGGTACCAAAGCAAATCATTCGTACTGTACAAATAATGTAAATATGACGGTGCATCACGAAAGATATGAAACTGATCACTTGACCAATATTACGTTACTTGCTCTTCGAGTGAATCAACAAATGGCAAAATGAAAAGCCGAACAAATGCTATTTTTTTTAGAGTCTTAGCTTACGTGTGTTTATTTCATATTTTCAGTTCTTACCCTCCCCGACTAAATCGGTTTCAGTTATGTACTGAAACATAAGAATGGACATTAGAGGGTTCTTTCAAAGAAAAAACTCAGGTAAATGTTATTTTATATATTATGCTTTGTATGTTGTTCAGTATATTTCTATGCAAAACAAGAGGGATTTCAGTACACAGCAGGATATTCACATTTGTAACCAGATATTTACATACACTTTAGGGAGAAAACATAAAACATTTTTACTGTACAACATCAATTTAGAGTAAATTTTTGTTTTAGATAAATATTGAAATATATTTTGAATTAGTTAAATTTCAGAATAAAGAGAGACAGAGCTATTTTTATCACTTTCATCAAATTTAGGAGTACATGTACACTAAATTTATTGTTAATTAATAAGAAAACTCCAGACGATTCCATTCTGAGCTGAAGAAGCTTGTGATAGGTTAGTAGAGTCCATGTGAGTAAATTGGTGGCACAGCTGTGGATGCATATAAGGCAAAACACAGAGCCTGTTTCTTTGACATGGGAAAATCAAGAGATATCAACCAAAACACCAGGAACAGAACTGTGGAGCTCCATACGTGTGGCTCAAGTTTGAATACAATTTGGTGCCATTTGCAATTAAGAAATACAGACAGTTTCTCTCTTTACTCTTAAAGTTAACAAATATGTTTTTATATTTATCAATCTAAAAAAAATAAACATTTAGTCTGATTTGATGTTACAATTAAAAAAGTGTTTTTATCTGAAGAGTAAATATCTGGTTTCAACTGTATATTTGATGATTGTCAGCACAAAGAGGGAGAGAGAGGAGAACGAGGACAGAACAGATGAACAAGAGCAGGTGAGACACACATGTTAGTCAAATGGTTGTTTACCAAAAGTATCAGCGTATCATAGGTCCTCATGTATCTCGTACCTAGTGTTTCTTTTTAGGTTTGTTATTTTTCAAATTCTGTATTTATTAAGTTCTGCAGGCTTGTTTGCACAACAAGGCTGAATAATTATATAAACTTTTCTCAATCTAAATATTGTACTTTGGTAGAATTAAAAAAATCAGTGTAGTGCAGGTCTATGAAGATTTTTAGTGCTATCATCTAGTTCTGATTCTGGTTCTGTCTTGGTTAAGTCCTCAGTAGTCCTGATTTTGAACTGTTGTAGTCCTGTTTTTAATTCTGGATCAGTTCTGGGTCTGGTTGAATTGGGGTTTAGTCCTCGTGTCTTGATGCAGCCCTGACCTTGTTCTGCCTTGCTGCTTAATTAAAAAACTAGTTTAAGGTGTCCTGCACATGTGATATATATTTTATATATATATATTTTTCCCTATATGAAGTCATTCTTTTTTCTTTTTTCCAAAAAAAAAAAAAAAAAAAAAAATCCCACATGCATACTACTCTTTGGGCTAAGCCCCGGGTGTTTCAAATGTCTGGCTCCGCCTCTGCTCTCAAAGCAGAGCCAATGAGAATGTCAGGAGAGGGGTGGAGCAGTGGGTTCAGCGTGTGGTGTCAGGGGAGGCTGACCAACACACCTGTTCTCCTTCGACTGGTCGTGCCTGCCCTATCTCAGTAGGATGCCAGGACGTGACGGGAGAGCAGTGTGCTACACGAGAACAAGACAGCTGGTAAGCTGCACAGGTAAAGAAAATGCAGACTGCACTGTAAATTAAAAAAAACAAAACAAAAAAAGCTGTGCGCCTTGAGTCCTTTATAAAACAGAGGGCAATTACTTTTCACATAGGGCCAGTTAGGTTTAGATCATGTTTTACTTTAATTAAAAAAACCACAATTTAAAAACTACGTTTTGTTTTTATCCAGGCGCTAATATTAAAATTTGATCATCTGAAATATGCAATTTGGACAAATATGCAAAAAATAACAAATTAGGAAGGGGCCAAATTAATTTTTCACTGCACTGCAGTCATCTTTGTAGTGTATGCCTGAATTCTGTATAAATCTTTACCAGTGTTGCACTTGATGAAGAACTTTGGATACTTAATCACATAATAACAAAGCAACTTTACAGGCATTTCAATATGAACACAACGAAATTTATCACACTTTGAAGTGGTTCCTCAACTAGACTGAAGAACTAAACATGTTCTGTGCAAAAATATAACTGTTCATTTTGACATGATCTGCCATCTCTTTTCTGTTTTCAGCTTTCAGTGAGGGCTGTCAGCTGTCCCGTCATCTGTGTCCCCCTTTCACACTGTTTTTGTGTATGTTTAGGGTTGTCTGTTAGGCTTCAACACTGAATTAGCACAAAGATTTAATGAACCTGCTGCTAGATGTTTACTCCTGGTATCTTCACTGTGGTAAGACTTTTTTTTGCACAAGGGAAAAGTTTGCATTCTAAAGTGGAAGAGTATGTTGTAATCCAAAGCATTTCCTGTAAGTAACCAAGTAGTTTTGGTGCTTAAACCGGACTGAAATAGTCCTTGAAAAAAGAAAGAAAACTCAAACAAAAGTCTAAAATGGAACTCCTACATGGGATGCTAATCCTTGTTTTCTGGGTGAAATTGCATTGTAACTCAACCCCACCTACCTACAGAAAATATTTTTTCCTGTTTTAATACTTCCAGACCAGGGGTAGGCAACTCCAGGTCTCAATTGCCAGTGTCCTGCAGGTTTTAGATATTGCCCTTTGTCAACACACCTGAATCAAATGATTAGTCCATTACCAGGCTTCTGGAGAACTGTTGGGGAGGTAATTTGGCCATTTGAATCTGCTGTGTTGGATCAAGGACACATCTAAAACCTGCAGGACACCGGCACTCGAGGCCAGTAGGAGTTGCCTACCCCTGTTCTAGACTCATTGTATTTAGCACTAACCTGCATTATAAAAATGGTCCTAGATAGGTAACACCTGGATTATGTGGGTAGTACTTTAAAGTATGACTAGAAGGGTTCCTGACCAATTCATATCAGTGTGTGTTGAGCTGAGGATAAGAATGTGCTGTTTGTTAATTTCCTACTTGCACGGGATCAATCCATCTTTAACTTAAGAAAAGAAAGCATGATAATGAATTTCGCAATAGGGCTACTTCCTGACATGCTTATAAAGGTAGTGAATATTAATGAACTGACCTTTCCTAGCAAAGCTTTCCTTGCGGAGGAAGCAGACCATGGCAAGAAACTTGGTGACCTCTTTCAGGTATATGACTGTGGTGTTGTTCAGGTGAATGATGGCCATAGAGTCTTTGTCATGGGGTAAACCAGCTTCAGTGTTTGGCATACTGAAGGAAAGAAGACAGAAAAAAATAGCTCAGATGAACTTCAAAGATAATATTTAATTTTACATAATCCTGAGACACAGTGTAGGCTTTTACTGAGGGAGCATTATATTATAGCTTCATTTTTTAGCAGGTTAAAGAAACCAACTGCCTAGGTAAATAACAGAGTCCTGCTTTTATTAAGAACTCACCCAGAGGACTTTCAAAATGTAGCAAGAAAGTTGGAGAGAAAAGACGTAGCACCCTGAAATGGATAGATGGATGGATGTATAGATTCTCTGCAGGTAATCTAAGTTTGCAAAAGCACTGAGGAAGAAGCCTGAACTTTCACTTTTCATCCAAATTCAGAAGTACAAATCAGCATCACTTTCTCTTCTTTATGCTGTATCAGAAATCCTTCCTTACAATCCTTACAACCCCCCCCCCCCTCCCACACACACACACACACACATACATTATCACACCAAAAAAGTTATCTTCATGGGCTTTCAATTTCCACATCATCTATTTCAATCTGCAGTTGTGAGTTTGAGAATTTAAAAAAACAACATGATTTAAAATGTACTGTCATCAGCAAATAATACTAATTTTAATATATCAGATATCTTTACAAATGTCATTTATACATTTATATAAAAACGAATACATAAACCTGAGGAAGCAATGTCCACGCATGATAAGGATTATTCTCTCAACTTCACACTTTTAACATGCATCTGGACAAGTCTTCGGTGATTTTTCCTGGAGTCATCAGGTGTTTTGAGTCTTTCAACGTTATATACCCTCACCCAGGTGGGGGTGATCAAGAGTCACCCATCGCTCTCCCCACTGGATCCACAACCATCTTGACACAACCTCTGCGACCTCAGTGACCAACTTGATAACCTTGTGCTTGCTTGCGCCTGTGATGCCCAGCTTGCTGAAGGTCCTGAAGCAGGACTGGACAATGAATCCTCTGCACCCACCTCTGTGTTCACACCTCACTTGCCGCCCATCCCTTCTACACTTTTCTACTAGCCCTGGATATCCTTTTTCTCTCATTAGATCCTCCATGTGATGCTTCCAACAGTCACTTCTATTAGGATGACCTGCTTTTTGGCTTCTGAGATCAGACATGATGCTGATCTCAGGCTTCCCTGATTAGCTGCCTAACTAAGCCTGTGTGCCTCCAGATATCCTGACACTTTTGGGATTCCCTGCTTCTGGACTGAAGTGTCAAGGTAGTTGTGCCTCAGGAGGTAGTCTGTTAGATGCCTGGCAACAATGGTGAAGAAAATCTCAGCTTCAACACTAAGAAGGGAAATAATTCTGAATTGATCAATATTTTTGGACTCTTCCTCCTCTGGAATCCACACCCCTTCTGCAAAACTCCACTGGTAAGCTACCTTGCCCCCCCTCCAGATCACTTTGAGGAGCATCCAGAGTCTGTGGAGTAACCTAGGGTAGTTGTTATACACCTTATACAGTACTCCAGTCAGCCCTGGGGGAGGGGGGGGGGGGGGGGGGGGGGGTTCCTCTCGCCGTCTTGACCACCTCCTGGACCTCCTTCCCACAGGGCTCCTTCTCGTCAAAGTCCTGTGTTGGTCCAGGAGGATCTATTAAGGCTCCCGAATTTAACTCCATAGTTGCTTATTAGATGATGGTCTACTCTGTTTTGGAGCAAGTGAGCTGGCCATTGTGCTTCTGTCCCAGCAGCTGTTTCATAAATCCAAATAGATTTTCTAGAAAGACAGCTAGCTTTCTGGCCCTCTCCTTCTTCTGCCTCCTATGCTCCTCAGTCCTTCTCAATGTTAGCAGCTTCTTCCACAGGATGCCACGCAACTCTACGAGGGGTCCTTTCTGAGCATGTGAATTGTTTTTGCTCGGTTGTTCTTCGTGTAAGGTTTTGCTACACTCTCCAGCACTCAAACTGCTCAGCTGCTTGGCTGATGATGATGGTGGCCTCATTGTCTGGAGGTGGTAGTCAGCTTCTCCCTTGGCTTTTGCTTCCAAGATGGCATCGACATCATTGTCGAACAGTGGCCACTCCTCCTTCTTACAAGCTTGGGGCCACTTGACCTATGTTCTGATGACTGGTCATGTGTCACTTGGAGGTTCTGGGCACTCTGAGGTATCTCCCTGCCTGGCTCCTCCAGCATGTCACCAGAAGACACTTTACCCTACCGCCTACTGGTGTTGGCCAGAGGGCCGATGGCGCGATATGGCAGCCTCGCTTCTGTCAGTCTGCCCCAGGGCAGCTGTGGCTACAACTGTAGCTGCCTCCACTAGTGTGTGAATGCAAGAGTGAATGAATAGTGGCATTGTAAAGCGCTTTGGGTGCCTTGAAAAGCGCTATATAAATCCAGTCCATTATTATTATTATTATTATTATTATTATTATTACTTCATCTTGACCTGGTGGATTTTGGGGCTATACAGGTTCTTACAGATTTTGTTGCAAATGGATCTCATAATCATTATTGTGTTTCCATTGCCATGATCTATTATCATTTGGTCTGTCTGACTAGGATTCTCATTCTCCCTCACTCTCATGCTCTCGGAACCCTTGGGGGTGTTTCTCCATAGGTCAATCTGTAGCTGTAAACAATTTTTAACCCAATGCAGTACAACCGCCTTGACCCCATACCATTCCAGTTTTATTTCATGATCAAATGTAGTAATACTCTGCCTGCATACTGTTTATGATGTCTAGTGTTTGTAATCTCTCAGTTTATTCAATTAATGCGGTTTGATCTGAACCCATATTGAGTGTTAAATGGACTGATTCTTACATAGCAGTTTTCTACTCTCCCAGAGTACTCTATACAACATGCCACATTCACCCATTCAAACGAGCACTGTTTCTATGCTTTGGAGTCCTTTCGAACTACCATTCACACATATTCATACTCACACATATTCATACTCCAATGGATGCATCGGAGAGCAACTTGGGGTTAATATCTTGCCCTGCATTTGGCAGGGGAGCCAGGGATCGAACCGCCAACCTTCCGATGAGTAGACGACCTGCTCTACAGCCACCCAGAGAATAACTAATATTTATCTAAGAATTTATCTAATTGTTTATTGAACAGTTTTTCTGGGATTTTTGAGAATTGTGGTAGTAGACAAACAGGCCTGTAATTTATGGAGTCAGAAATTTTAGCTAGTTTCATTCTGTTTTTGAACTTGCCTCTATGATCTTCTTGACAATTTTCATTGAAATCAGTGGATGTTTTTTATTTTCATTCATTTATGATATATATCAATTATTTTTCATCCACTGCTGTAAGAAACATTGAGTAATATATATATATATATATTAGGGGTGCAACGATACACAAAATTCACGGTTCGGTTCGGTTCGATACTTTGGTGTCACGGTTCGATATTTTTTCGATACAAAGAAATGTTCATGCCTTTTTAATTTGTCATTTATTAAAATTATAAATATATATTTTAACTCAAAAGTACAGTTTTTAAATTTAACCCTAACCCTTGTGCGTGTTTTTTATTTTGACAGCGAATGCGCACCTGCGGACCACTTATGTGCAGCCCTGGTTATTTAGCTCGTCATATTGCAGCCACAGAAATTATTTTGTCCATGAAACCATAAAGCTGCACTTTCTTTTTGCCTTATAGTCTGATTTGTCATAACTTCTCCATTTTGTGGTAAGCTTTTCTTTGGCTGTCACTTCTTCACCCTGACCTGTCTTATTTGGCTCAGCAGAACTAAAATATATATCCTGCTGCTTTTACACAGGCACTCACATAAGCTCAGCGATTCTCTGCGCGATCAACCTCTCACATGTTTAAGCTGCGGGAGATTTCACTTGTCATGTTTGCATAGTAAGCTAACGATTAATAAGATGATGTCAGAGGAATTGGTGCACAAATTATCATCACTCACAGATCAGTGCTGTCGCTCTCTATACACAGTTCGCACGATTGCAAAGTGAAAGCAAAAAAACAAGCGCAAATTCAAACGCGACTTCAATATGTCACATATTGACAGTGGCTCACCGATGCCAATGACATAATTACCCAGCTACATTTCTGAAAGAATGCAAAAGCATTGACATATATTTTTCCTTCCTACAAAAGCCCGACGGGCAGGGCAGAGATAGATTTTGGTAGCCCGACTGAAAAAAATCGCTAGCCCCGGGACGTCGGGCAGGCGATATTGCGAGCCCTGTATCTGATTGAGGAATCACTCATCTTTGGAAAAGAGAGTTTATTACAGAGAAATGTCTCTTTCCAAAATAAAAGCTATACTATCCGCTTCTTCTGGGCTATATTCTCAGCAGCATAAAGAGAATCACGTGCTAACAGCTGTCTAAATGACTCGGCTAAAGTTAGTAGCATGCTTGTTGTTTTTGTCTTTGCACTAGGATGATGTCGGGGTAAATGTGCAGTCATATTCATTGTGTTCCCACTAGTGCTTTCAGGTTAATCTCGTTGAAATGACCTTAACGCCACAACACGGCAAATCTCCGTTAACGAGCTACGCCGATCGCCCCGTGCATGGGGCTAGACGGCCAGCTAACTGCGCTAACACACTAGTTCCCACCAATGTAATTGAGCATTGCGTGGCACATCCAACATACTGTTTTACTTTAGTCCATGACGCGCTTACCTTCAGGGTCATACGTCACATGAAAACCAAAATAATTCCAAACGCCAGATCTGAATGAGGGTGGGGGAGGTCCATGTTGCAAGGGGAGCTTAACTTCTGTCTCGCTAGCTTGCCCTGCGCTCTTCCTTCTGACGATGCTGTCTGTGTTGAGCGCTCAGTGAATCTGCGTTCGACTACTCCGCCTAGGCTGCACTGTCGAGCCTAGGCGGAGTAGTCGAACGCAGATTCACTGAGCGCTCAACACAGACAGCATCGTCAGAAGGAAAGTTGATAAAATAAATTACAAATTTTGTATTGTTCGATACATATGCGTACTGAACCGAAAGCACTGTATCGAACGGTTCAATATCGATACGAATATCGTTGCACCCCTAATATATATATATAT